GTGCGTGCATGAATTCACTGTAATAAAATGATAAAATAATGTGAATGATGCTGAAAAAAGAATGCATGGGGCATAAATAATTAATATGGTTGCATTGTTTACTGTAAATCAATTAATTGAAGTTGTGAACATTTTTATAGTGTTCTTTCATAGCTTTTTCTCTTTCTTATACGTTCCTTTCTGCCAGCTCATTTACTGTCACGTGATTTGTCACTGCTCATATCTGTGTATCATCTTTCTGTGTATATGTGTGTTCAGGAGAAGGACAAGCCTCATGAGGGCTCCAGGCCAGTCAGAGCTGTGTTTGTGTCTGATGGGAAGATCCTGACCACCGGTTTCAGCCGCATGAGTGAGCGTCAGGTGGCGCTGTGGGATCCTGTGAGTACATCATGTGCTTCAGAGGCTCTCTTTTTCAGTTTTACAAGCAAGTGACTCATAAAAGTGTGTTTGTGGTTGCAGAACAACTTCAGTGAGCCCTTGAACCTGCAGGAGCTGGACACCAGCAGTGGGGTGCTGTTACCTTTCTTTGACCCTGACACTGGTATAGTCTACCTTTGTGGCAAGGTAAGGAACTAAGAAAGACATTCAAGTTTTGAGCCAAATTTAGATTTTATGGCCATGAAGAGTTGTTTGTTCATGAAGTTGGATGTTTTAACCAGTGTATTTGGTTTGACAGGGTGACAGCAGCATCAGATACTTTGAGGTGACGGACGAGGCCCCATACGTTCACTATCTCTCCATGTACAGCAGTAAAGAGAGTCAGAAGGGCATGGGCTACATGCCTAAGAGAGGCCTGGAAGTCAACAAGTGTGAGATTGCAAGGTAAACACATCCAGGCTTATAGTGTACTTGCTTTCTCCCACAAACATACAAAAGGTCAGCATTTTAAATTATGGATTATTGCATATTTATTTTAGGTTCTATAAACTCCACGAGAGAAAGTGTGAACCTATTGTAATGACTGTGCCTCGTAAGGTAAGTTTGTCCAAGTCAAAATCAGCTTAATTGTTGTCAAAGGTTTGTGGTCAGTAAGAGTTTTTAGTTTGAAACAAACTAACAGATTTCTATTTCAAATAAATACTGTTCGCTTCAACTTCTATTCACCAAGTATCACATTTTCCACAAACATATTAAGCTGCAAAACTGTTTTCAAGATTGATAATACTAAGACATTTTTTTTTGAGCAGCAAATCAGCATATTAGAATGATTTCTGAAGGATCATGTGACACTAAAGAATGAAGTAATGATGCTGAAATTTCAGCTTTTCCATCACAGGAATAAATTACATTTTAAAATATATTAAAAATAGAAAAGAGTTATTTTAAATTGGAATAATATTTGACAATATTACTGTTTTACTGTATTTTTGATCAAATAAATGCAACCTTGGTCAGTGTGTTATTATACTTCTTTCAAAAACATAAAAAACTGTACTGACCCCAGATTTTTTGAATGGTAGTTTATTAATGCCACACGTTTGATTAAGTGCTGCTTATTTGTTCCACTGTCTTAATCCGGCATTATCATTTCTTTGCTTTAGTCTGACGTGTTTCAAGAAGACCTTTACCCCGACACGATTGGTCCAGAGCCATCGGTGGAGGCAGATAATTGGTTTGCTGGTAAAGATGGGGAACCCATCCTGATCTCCTTGAAAGACGGTTTTGTGGCTACCACCAAAAATAAAGAGTTCAAAGTCATCAAGAGCTTGATGGCCACCACATCATCTTCCTCAAGCAACCGACAGTCTGACAGTGTGGTAAGAGATCAAAGGGAATCCTTTTTAATTATTTAACCTCTAACACAGTGAATTGTAAAGTATTGTGTAATTGATCATTCTATTTCATATACAGGACGTGCAGGCCTTGCAGAATGAGGTGAACGAGCTGAGAGAGATGGTTGAGCAGCTGACCAAGCGAGTGAGCGACCTGGAGAGCAACTAACTGAAGAGAGACCCCAATAGAATGAGAGAAGGTTTAAAAGAAAAATGCAAATGGACATGTACAAGATATGCAAATAATGAAATCCGAAAAGGTGCATATTGGAAAGAACATTTTGTAGAATTATGTGAAAAGTCTTCATGGGATACCATTTTGCAGTCCATTTCAGACCAAATTTTGCTCTTCAGGGATTTCACTTTTTTAAAAAGAATTTTGATTTGTTTGAAGCCCATTTTAATATATGTTTTATAGGATTTGAAATAAATGCCAGTGTTATTTTAACAAAGATTTATTTATGTGTCAAAAACTCATTGTTCATTCTACACATACGAATGTCTTAAATCAGTCAGTTTTATTGAAAATACATGAAAGACAATCGAAATGATTATGACCTAATACACAAAAAAAACATCATATAGCAATTGTACAGATTACAGTAGATTCCTGTATCCTAAAAAGTTCTTGAAAAAATATAAATGACCTGAAAGTATTTCGGACACAAGCTCGGCCCATCCCTGAATTTTAATAAACAAGTGCATTGTTTATTAGCTGCTTTAAGAAATTGCAGCAGTACACCGTAAACTATGTAAAACTAGTTAAAAAGCTTAGAGACCGTTTTTCTATGACAGTTCAGTAGCTCCAAACAAGTAATATTTACATCGTTCTGGATCTTAACCTTTTCTAGTTTGTTATTCTCGTTACCTACCGATTATAAAGACTACTTGCTAACATAGACATATTTCACATACTACAGCTTCAATTTCTGTAACTACTCTTTAGTTTAACCCATTTCATCTACACATAATTCTTGCTTGGTGCAGAGGCGCTGTTGCTGCAGTATTTGGCGGTTCCGCCGGATCCTCCGGAGTGCGGTCTGCTGAAGCAGCACAGCAAGCCTCCGGCCAGCAGGAGCAGGACTCCTCCTCCCCAGCCCACAAAGATACAGGCACCCAGCTCTCTCTTCTGAGATTGGGCTACCAGTGGATTGTTGAAGTCGCGCACGACATTATGAGCGGCCCAGCTGACGGGGATGATCAGCAACAAGCCGGCGAGGATAAGCCCAATAGCGGACACCAGACTCACTTTGGGTTTGACTTCTTCATTTTCGATGCAGGTAGTGAAGTCGGCGCCGGCGCTCAGAATGAGCAGGGACAGGACAGTGAGCATGCAGCTGATGATAGTCATGGCACGGGACGCCTGAAGGTCAGAGCCCAGGATGAGCAGCGAGTCGTAAGCTTTACACTGCTGCTGTCCGGTACTCTGAACCACGCATTCCATCCACAAGCCCTCTTCTTGAACCTGTGTGGCAAAGGAAAAATACGAAATGTACCTTCCCATCCATATCATTTAATCATTATCCTTTCAAAAAAAAATATTTCTACCGTGAAACACGAAATTATTTATTCAGCCTATAGCAAAATGTCGCTGTAATCGTGCTACAGTCTCCATCTTTCTGTAAGGTAGGCTATGCTTGACGCATTACATAATCGAACATTTAAATGATTGAATAGGCTAAGCCTACACGTCTTGTTGGCTATAAATATAAATACACGTCTTGGATATATTGAAATAATAATTTGAGTTTTCATTATAGCCTACTTTTACTTTTAAGTTTTAGTCATTTTGGTATGTGCTTTTTTGTTAGGCCTACAGTTGTTTTTAAATATTTATAGGTTTAAATAGGTTATATTAATATTTTAGCATTAACTTATTTTTACTTAAATTGGATGCCAAGGCAAAGTTTTTAAAGTTAAAGTTTTTCATCTAATGTTTGCATTTCAGCTTTATTTTATTTCAGCTTTATTTCAATCAATGAAAAAAAAAGAACAATAAAAACACTGTTGTATTACAGCTGTCAAATAATCTTTGGTAAATAATGACTTAAATTTCAGTCTTCCTTATATACAGCTGTTTTATGGCTTCATGAGATTTTAGTAGTCTATATGGTTCCATGGACCATGTTTGTTTTGGTGTCATTTTTACAGCTTGACGGGCCCTAATCCTCAGACATTCTGTTAAAGATCTACTTTGCAGTTTTTGAAATAATATGAGTAAATTATGAATAAGTTATATATATATATATATATATACATGCATTTATTCTTTGAACTGAATTTTTGAAATTGCAGCAATTGTTTACCTGTGCAGTGATAATGTTCTGACCAATAAAAGCAGAAACCTTCCATCTTGGAACAGCAATGGTCACGACCGCTGCAATGAGACCTAAAATTCCCAGTGCCATACACACGATCTGTACTCCAGACGAACCCATTCTGAAAGAGGAATAAGGACGATTAAATAATAATAACAGATTTAATGTTGATACATTAGTTGCACAAAAAAAATATTGATGCTCTCAGTTTGGAAATGGGGTTAAAACTAAAAAAGAAAAGAAACAGAAATGGCAAAAGCAGTGGTGAAGTGGTTTTAAATCCTTCCTGTTTGAGTCATTAGTAAGTGGTATATTTTGTAAGACATGTTCTAGTCTAGTGCTTATGCGTTTCCACATAAACTCAATGGCTCCTCCCTTTAGACAGGCCCATACAGGAACTTGTATTTCAGAGCTATAGCAGAAAAAAAACAACATATCTAAGAAAACCCATATCATGAAGCAAGCCTCAAGTCTCAACAGATCCTAAAATCTGCTTTTAGCTACATTTGTTACGTAACTGCCACACCCCGAGAGGGGTCTCGGGTACTGCTTGTTCTATTTATTCTATTCTATTCTATTCTTATTTATGTGTCAAAAACTCATTGTTCATTCTACACATACGAATGTCTTAAATCAGTCAGTTTTATTGAAAATACATGAAAGACAATCGAAATGATTATGACCTAATACACAAAAAAAACATCATATAGCAATTGTACAGATTACAGTAGATTCCTGTATCCTAAAAAGTTCTTGAAAAAATATAAATGACCTGAAAGTATTTCGGACACAAGCTCGGCCCATCCCTGAATTTTAATAAACAAGTGCATTGTTTATTAGCTGCTTTAAGAAATTGCAGCAGTACACCGTAAACTATGTAAAACTAGTTAAAAAGCTTAGAGACCGTTTTTCTATGACAGTTCAGTAGCTCCAAACAAGTAATATTTACATCGTTCTGGATCTTAACCTTTTCTAGTTTGTTATTCTCGTTACCTACCGATTATAAAGACTACTTGCTAACATAGACATATTTCACATACTACAGCTTCAATTTCTGTAACTACTCTTTAGTTTAACCCATTTCATCTACACATAATTCTTGCTTGGTGCAGAGGCGCTGTTGCTGCAGTATTTGGCGGTTCCGCCGGATCCTCCGGAGTGCGGTCTGCTGAAGCAGCACAGCAAGCCTCCGGCCAGCAGGAGCAGGACTCCTCCTCCCCAGCCCACAAAGATACAGGCACCCAGCTCTCTCTTCTGAGATTGGGCTACCAGTGGATTGTTGAAGTCGCGCACGACATTATGAGCGGCCCAGCTGACGGGGATGATCAGCAACAAGCCGGCGAGGATAAGCCCAATAGCGGACACCAGACTCACTTTGGGTTTGACTTCTTCATTTTCGATGCAGGTAGTGAAGTCGGCGCCGGCGCTCAGAATGAGCAGGGACAGGACAGTGAGCATGCAGCTGATGATAGTCATGGCACGGGACGCCTGAAGGTCAGAGCCCAGGATGAGCAGCGAGTCGTAAGCTTTACACTGCTGCTGTCCGGTACTCTGAACCACGCATTCCATCCACAAGCCCTCTTCTTGAACCTGTGTGGCAAAGGAAAAATACGAAATGTACCTTCCCATCCATATCATTTAATCATTATCCTTTCAAAAAAAAATATTTCTACCGTGAAACACGAAATTATTTATTCAGCCTATAGCAAAATGTCGCTGTAATCGTGCTACAGTCTCCATCTTTCTGTAAGGTAGGCTATGCTTGACGCATTACATAATCGAACATTTAAATGATTGAATAGGCTAAGCCTACACGTCTTGTTGGCTATAAATATAAATACACGTCTTGGATATATTGAAATAATAATTTGAGTTTTCATTATAGCCTACTTTTACTTTTAAGTTTTAGTCATTTTGGTATGTGCTTTTTTGTTAGGCCTACAGTTGTTTTTAAATATTTATAGGTTTAAATAGGTTATATTAATATTTTAGCATTAACTTATTTTTACTTAAATTGGATGCCAAGGCAAAGTTTTTAAAGTTAAAGTTTTTCATCTAATGTTTACATTTCAGCTTTATTTTATTTCAGCTTTATTTCAATCAATGAAAAAAAAAGAACAATAAAAACACTGTTGTATTACAGCTGTCAAATAATCTTTGGTAAATAATGACTTAAATTTCAGTCTTCCTTATATACAGCTGTTTTATGGCTTCATGAGATTTTAGTAGTCTATATGGTTCCATGGACCATGTTTGTTTTGGTGTCATTTTTACAGCTTGACGGGCCCTAATCCTCAGACATTCTGTTAAAGATCTACTTTGCAGTTTTTGAAATAATATGAGTAAATTATGAATAAGTTATATATATATATATATATATACATGCATTTATTCTTTGAACTGAATTTTTGAAATTGCAGCAATTGTTTACCTGTGCAGTGATAATGTTCTGACCAATAAAAGCAGAAACCTTCCATCTTGGAACAGCAATGGTCACGACCGCTGCAATGAGACCTAAAATTCCCAGTGCCATACACACGATCTGTACTCCAGACGAACCCATTCTGAAAGAGGAATAAGGACGATTAAATAATAATAACAGATTTAATGTTGATACATTAGTTGCACAAAAAAAATATTGATGCTCTCAGTTTGGAAATGGGGTTAAAACTAAAAAAGAAAAGAAAAGAAACAGAAATGGCAAAAGCAGTGGTGAAGTGGTTTTAAATCCTTCCTGTTTGAGTCATTAGTAAGTGGTATATTTTGTAAGACATGTTCTAGTCTAGTGCTTATGCGTTTCCACATAAACTCAATGGCTCCTCCCTTTAGACAGGCCCATACAGGAACTTGTATTTCAGAGCTATAGCAGAAAAAAAACAACATATCTAAGAAAACCCATATCATGAAGCAAGCCTCAAGTCTCAACAGATCCTAAAATCTGCTTTTAGCTACATTTGTTACGTAACTGCCACACCCCGAGAGGGGTCTCGGGTACTGCTTGTTCTATTTATTCTATTCTATTCTATTCTATTCTATTCTACTCCATTCAATCTATTCTATTCTATTCTTTAATTTTAGATGTAGGAAAAACACTGAGCACCTTTTCAGTGAACTGCTTGTTTTTTTACACTTGCCTCCAAATGTCTGTGGCTTTTTATTCATGTCGATCTCACTGAACTTGTCTTATGTCTCCTCAGGATTTGCTTTTGGGTGATTCATAAAACTACTGTTAGAATGTATGGACTGCACTTAAGACCCTGCATTGTCTTCCTACTCAGCACTAACAAAGCGCAATGGATTGGTGAGGAGCTAGAGAAGGTGACCAGGTGGTGCGTGGGCACCAGCAAAATGAATAACGGTAATTGTGGCTGTTTTTAGTTGACGGTGAATCATTCAGCAGCTCGAATTAACATGCTGTCCCGCTCCTCCAAAATTGTATTCTTTCTGTCTACGCAATGATAATTCTGCTCTTAACTGAGCTAAAATCATGAATGAGTGAGGAATTTTGCTTTTTATGTCTGCATATGTGCTATGATGTCCAGGATTCAGTTATTTTCTAACAATATTAACAAAAAGATAGAGAAGTCCATAGTAAATCCCAACAATTTGTAATATGACGTGTTTCAAGAAATTTTGTAATATGTAATGATTTATATGTTATGTTCAATGTTGGGCTAGTTACTCAAAGAATGTAATATATTACTCATTACTAGATACTCATTTCAAAAGTAATATTGTTAATTTGCTTATTACTTTCTGGCAACAGTAATTAGTTACACTACTAGTTACATAATTTTTTCTTCACGCCCCACAGAAGTTGTAACTGTGTATCTCCCACATAAAATTCTTCTTACTTACAACATATTTCTGCCTCATCATTTGACCAAAATCCACATTGGATCGCAGTCAGAAGTTATTACAAACACTCAATAGTGATTGATAGTGACATTCAAGTAGAAGTGTTGTATTAATCTCATTAATTGTCATGTGTAGCTTGAAGCTAATTGTAATTCCTCTGTGACCCATATACGATTATATTTCATAATATATTTTATCAAATCACATAAGTTAGTAAGAAACTGTTTAATTTTCCAAAAAGATTTTTAATTATAGTAATATAATGTACCACATGCTGATCAGAGGGATGTAATGCCAGAGTAAAGTAAAGCCACAACTTACACAACAGTGTTCAGACCATCTTTTTTCCTGACTAAATCAATATAATGCAATATTTTCTGCTTTAATGTAAGCTTTTCCATATTCCAAGCTTGCCTGCTGCACTGGGCACATCACATGCATGTGCGAGTCATGAAAATAAATCTAGGAATTATTTGATTGTTGGATTTTAAATCAGCGGGGT